ATGGACACAGCGGCTTCACAGCTCAGATGCTTAATTATTCTGAACCATCTGCCAAGTTGGTGCTGGATATGTACCTGTGCCGGACTGTCACACAGCTCACACTGCTCGCAAGTTCACTTGTGCTGAAGAAGATTGATCATTATTTTGGAAAAAAGCTGAAAGATGGTCCCAAGTTCATGAAATATGATGATAATGATGATGCCATCATTGATATGATTCCTGGCAAGCTCATGAGTGTTGAAAGCTTTTTGGACTGCCCTCTTCTGGGTCATTCAGTTGTTCATGATTAGAGGCAGACGTTTGCAGTGAGTGTCCTCAAGGCAGTGGGCAAGAAAGCAGCCAGAACTGGCAAGTTCACCATGTCTGTCCAGAAAGACTAAATGTATATCTTCTTTAGTACCTGCCATACCAGTATTAATCAGTGGCAGAACAATGTCTCAGAGCTATTTGTCTCAATTGGCCATTTAACTTTAGTTAATAATAATGTGTCTCATAGAATGTCTCAGAATAAAATAAAAATGTTTTGTAAACCACTTGCTTTGTTGTGTGTGTTTATCAGTTATAAGTTATTCATTTTTAAAATTGGTACTTTTTTTCCTATTTATGATTTTTAGTGATGTTCATACCTACATATAGGAGAGCCAGGTCATTGGAATTATTGGCATTGTTGTACATAGCATTTAGGGAGAATTACAAAATGTGATTAGAAACATTGACAAATAATTGGAAACATTTGACAGTAGCACTGTAGCACTGTCTTCTGGTTGTTCATCGATTTGCTCGAGAGGGCACCAGATAGTATAGGTATACTTTTCCATTTATTTCATATGTAGAAAGAGTTTCTATAGAAGTATTTCTAAAAACACTCTTTATACTTGTGTAAAATCATTACAGAATTTTCTTTTGAGTGGATCATTTACAAATTATATATTTTTTGATCAATAACATTTTAAAAATTTTTTATTAGTGAAACACCATGAGGTATAGTTGTAGACTTACAAATTTTTGTCCTTGGGTTTCAGTTATGCGATGATTGAGTACTCATCCCTCCACCATGCCCATTCTCCACCACCACTGATCCCAGTATCCCTTCCACCCCCTATCCCCCATCCCACCCTGCCTCTGTGTCAGGGCATTCCCTTTTGTTCTCTCTCTCCTTTTGGGTGCTGTGGTTTGCAAAAGAGGCATTGAGTGGCAACCATGTTCGGTATATAGTCTACTTTAAATTGGTACTTTTTTGTGAAAACAACTTGAACAAAGATCTTACAGATTTTGAGAGCCATTTAAACAAAATTTAATGAGAAAAATAATCCCTCACTCTCCTTTGTGAGCTATACATATGTATATTATTATTTTGTGGCCTCTAATGTCCAAGTATACAGAAGCATGATATTTTAGGATATTTGTTGAACCATGAGAAAAAATTAAGTAGAATCATATTTTTTATATCTTTTTTTGCAGGGGAGGAGTACATGGAGTACTAGGGACCCTAGGGACCCAAGCATGCATGCACTTGAGATTCCTATATGCGAAACATGCATTCCAGTTCTTTAAGCTATATCCTAGCCCCATTTATATCTTCTTTAAATTTTTTAATAGTAATTCTGGTAGCATGGTTACAATAAGTGTCAATTTTGTGATTACTTCAGTACCACCACCACCAAATTGCTCAAGACCTTCCGTCACCGTTCCTGTACATATCACTAGTGTGCCTCTTGCCCCCAACCCCACTTGATAATCTCTATTTTGCAATCAAGGTGTATGGGTTTAAACTCATTTAATATCGTCTATTCCCTTATTTTGTTTCTCAGTATACCACAGATACATGAGATCAAACAAAACAAACACTGTCCTCCCGTTGTTCATTGATTTGCTCTAGCGGGCCCAGTAACATCTCCATTTTGAGACTTGTTGTTACTGTGTTTGGCATATTGAATACGTCACGGGTAGCTTGTCAGGCTTTACTGTGCGGGTGAGATACATTCAGTAGCTTGCCGGGCTCTCCGAGAGGGGCGGAGGAATTGAACCAGGCTTGGCCAGGTTGACTGCATGTAAGGCAAACGCCCTACCTGCTGTGCTGTCGCTCCAGCCCATGTATGAGATCATTTTATATTTATTCTTCTTCCTCTAACTTAACATGAATGAGCTCCAGATCTATTCAAGTCACAGCAAACTAAGCTTTTATCTTTTCTTACAATTTTGTAGTGTTGTGAATATGTTTATATATACCACAACATCTTTATCCATTAATCTGTTGTTGTATATTTGGGTTGTTTCTATAACCTGGCTATTGTACTTAGTACTGCAATGAACATAGAGGTGTATAAATGTTTCCAAATTAATAATAGTGTCTTTGGGGTAGAAGCCAAGAAATGATATCACAGGGTCATGTGGAAGCTCTACTCTTTGTTTTCTGTTTTTTCCTTTTACTTTTTATTAAGAAACCATAATTTACAAAGTTGTTCATAATAAAGTTTCTGGCATACAGCATTTCAATACCAACCCCACTGCCAGTGTTTTCTTCCCCCCTAAATGACCCCATGTCTTTCCCAACCCCCAGCTTGCCTCCTTGCAGGCTATAACAAATTTTATATTACTTGTTCCAACAGAACTTAAAAGAATGGCAAATGGTATTATCAACAAATAAATTAGTAGACGTCTATTTGTGATGATTGATTGCTATATGATTTTAACCTGTGTAACTAAATTTCAGTCATTCAATATAGTATACTACTTAATCTCACTTGCATAGCTAAATTTCAACTCTAGCACCTAAGATGCAGTGCATTAAATATTTTAGTTTTTACTTGGATCATACTGTAATTATCATATCTTCCCTGTGATAAAGCATTTTTCAAAACTTTTGTGCTAATATATTTTAGAGTTTCCATGAAATAAGCAACACCTAAAAATGTGAAATTTAGTAAAAGTGAATATAATTAAGAAAATTTAGTTGGGAAAATATGAATAGGCATATAAAAGTGCAAAGTGTTTATGCTAAGAAAGGGAATACTGGTTTTATATTAGTAAATATTATAAATAATGCTTAAGTGTCTGCATTAAGTAGAAGAATGCAATAAAAATCCCCTGTGTAAAAAAAACTGACTAGACATAAAAGTCAATATAAATGAGATATTAATTCATTATTAAAAATGTACAAATCCCCTACTAGGAATAAACATAACTTTTCTTAATCTAGTAGAGGGCAGCCATATGCACCATTTGCGAGTGCCATACTCATTGCTACATTTGTGAAGTTTTTTTTGTCCTCTCAAGGAGCTCTTTTAATGCTTCTTGCTAAACTGGTTTCAAGGCTATGAATTCCCTAAGCTGTTGCCTGTCCATACGATTCTCATCATTCCTTCAAATCTGTGTGATAATCTAGCTGAATATTCTTGGAAAGGTGATCATTTGTTGAGTTTTTGTACTGTAACCTTTCATTCTCTTCTTGCTTTACAGTAAATTTACAGTAAATCTTCTGTATATTTTGTGGGCTTTTCTTTGTAAGTTCCTTTTTTCATATTACTACTTTCAATATTGTGTCTCAATCTTTGGATTTTTTCATTATGTCTTAGGGTATACATTTGCTTTTGAGTCTATTTTCACTGAGACCTTTTGTTCCTCTTGGTTTGGTTGCCCTTGCTCCTCAACTTTGGACATTGTTTTGGGGCTACACCTGACTGTGTTCAGGGTTCACTTTTTTGTGTGGTCCCACTTAATATGGCACTGATTAGATGTGGAGGCTGCTTGGACCAAACCAGAAGGGAAGGGCTTTGCTTCCTGTTTGAGTACGTCCAGTGGTATCAGACTAGCCTCACCTGGAATGACAGAGCATCTACTAAAGTTCACTAGCTGTAGTTTGGGCTTGTTTATTCTTTGTTTTAAAGTAAGTCTTCACAGAGGCTGATTTCCGTAGATGACTTTTCTACTAACATTGAAAGGGGGGTTCTTTTTCATACATTCCCACCAACTCTGGTTTTTGTTTTGTTTTGTTTTTATATATATGCCATTCTCACTGGTGTGAGATGATACTTTACTGTCTTTTTCATTTGCATTTTCCTTATAACAAGTAACAGTATCTTTTAAAGAAAGAATAGTGAAGATAATTTTTTAATTGAAGGTAATGACTGATTTTTGTTTGTTTCTGGGTCACATCCAGCTGTGTTCAAGACTTACTACTGTCTCTGCACTCAGGGATCACTCCTGGCAGTCTTGGGGCACCATATGTGGTGCTGGGGATTGAACCCAGGTTGGCCATGTGCAAGCCAAACTGCCTTACACACTGTTATCTCTCTAGCTTCAATAACTTGGTTTTTAAGGTGTATACTGTGTTTTTTCCATGACAGTGATACTAAAGATAGAGGCAATTAATGAAAAATTTATAACTTGCAAGAAAACAAGTTTGTCCATTTCCCAAATATCTCATAATTATTTGACATTTAAACATTTGATTCATCTTACTTCACTATTGTATTTTAAATATGTCTTTAACACATCATATGCTTTAGTCATTAAAATTTATATAAGAAAAATATGTCAGCTACATGACATTTATAAGGCAGAAAGAAAGATTGAAGAAAAAAGGGAAAAGATATGCCAGAAATTTTTTAATAAAGCTTGTATGGCTATATTAATACCAGACAATAGTGGTATCTGAAGTGAGTGAAGCGAGTGAAGTTATTAGCAAAATATAAACATCTAAAATAAGAATTTTAAGTATAGACCTTGAGATGAAGTTGTCAAGTAAGTAATAGTGTATTTTATTTCCGAACAACTATGTTCGTGAGAGTGACTAGAATGGTTTGAGGAATAAAGACAAACAAAACTGAAAGTTTGAGAAAACAAATACTCAAAGATTATAGGAATTTAGAGTTTAACCAAATATTTTCCCTCCAAGATTTTAAAAATATTGCCTTTTTCATTCCATGTCACTCTAAGTCTATGTTTGTTGGCAGTACATGTAAAATTCATTTGTTAAGCATTTGCTTTTGTGTTTTCAGGAATTCAAAATGTTCTCAGCCTCTTTTGTGCAGTCCTCACAGAAAATAAAGTTCTCTTCCATTCTGCAAGTTTCCAGAGACTTAGTGATGCTTGTAGAGCCTTGGAATCTTTAATGTTTCCTCTTAAATATAGGTGAGGTTTTTTTACTTGGTATTTTTATTTATTCCCAAATTGTTTATTACTTGTTTGATGATCACTCAGAATGTCAAAACACAATAATTTTCAACCACAGGTATATTTTCAAAGTTATATTGTTAGTGAATCATAAATTTAATAGAAATCTAGCCTAGGATTTGAATTTTCCAAGTTGTCTATTACTGAGAGTTGGTAAATTCAGTGACATTAAGTGTCTTTGAATAGTATAGTCTGCATTTTTTTTGTATATAGTTGCCGAAAAGGTATTAAGTTAGTGCCATCTGATTATTTGACCTTAAATTGTTATTAATTGGTGTAGTCATAATAGTGTTTATGGTTCTCATGTATATTATGTTTTATGCATAGTTACTGAAGTATTTAATAATAATAATAATAATAATAATAAAGGCCCTCCCGTTGATCATTGATTTGCTCGAGCGGTCCCAGTAACGTCTCCATTGGAGACTTTGTTGTTACTGTGTCTGGCATATCGAATACTCTCGGTAGCTTGCCGGGCTCTCTGAGAGGGGCGGAGGAATCGAACTCGGGTCGGCCATGTTGGCCACTTGTAAGGCGAACGCCCTACCTGCTGTGCTATCGCTCCAGCCTAGGTATGCATAATAAGACATCTTTGACTTGGTTCCAATAATACAGTAGGAAGGAGAACAAATGTATGTGATTATGCTTTATAATTGTCAGAACTGAATTGAATACATGGAGTGTCATTCTCTTTTGGAGGGATGTTAAAAATTTCCATAGAAAGAAGTAAAAGACAAAACGGTTGAAACAGTGGTGCCTAGTTATTCTTATAAGTGGACTATTTTATTCTAATATAGTCTTATTACTATAATAATGATAATGCTAGGAAAGTTAAGTTATAGAAACCAGAAAAAAATTGCTATCTTCAGATTTTTAAAAAAAAAATTAGTCTGCTTGTTCTTAATGCTAAGAAAAGTTTTTTAGGCTTTTATTTTTGTACTTAATCATTTTTTTCAATTCAAAAATTTGAAGAAAATATTTAATTTGAAATGTGTTTAATAAAATTGAATTTGTATGATAGACAAATTTTCACCAATATAAGGGTGGGCTGTCAAGATAGTGTGACAATCTGATATATAAGAAAAAAAAATGACTTCATGGCTTGAGAGATAATATAGCAGGTCAGGCACTTGCCTAAAATGTGGCCAACCCAGGTTCAATCCCCAGCTTCCCAAAGCACTGCCGGGAGTAATTCATGAGTACAGAGCAAGGAGTAACCCCTGAGCATCACTGGTTGTGGCTCAAACCCCACCCACCCACCCACCCCCAAAAAATAACAAATGAGGGAGAGAGGTAAGGGAGGAGAGAGGGAGGGAGGAGGGAGGGAGGGAGGGAGGGAGGGTGGGTGGGTGGGTGGCTCCTGGTGTTGCAGAAATAGTACAGTGGGCAGGGTGCTTGCTTTGTGCACTACTGAGCTGGGTGCCATCCCTAGCACCATATATGATCCCTGAAGTACCACCAGGAATAAACTCTGAGCACAGAGCCAGAAATAAGCCCCAGGCACAGCCAGGTGTGGCCTCCAAAGAAAACTTTTTTTAAAACTAAAGCAAAATTTTCAAATAAAATTAAAAAACTGTAAGATGGCCTAGATGGAGAGAGATAAGGAACCTGATCTACTTTCCGTTTACTTTATATCTGATCATATCACATACAAATTCTTTTAACTTGAGAATTTTTAGGGACAGAGCAATAGTACATCAGGTAGGGTGCTTGCCTTCATGCGGCCAGCCTGGATTTGATCCCAGCATCCATCTGGTCCCTGAGCCTGCCAAAAGTGATTCCTGTGTTTAGAGCCAAGAGTAAACCCTGAGCACCGCCAGGTATAGCCCCAAAACAAAACAAACAAAACTTTAGTATTGACAAACATGCAAATATTATTCACGTTTTTAAAATATAGGTAATGTTAAGTTCTACAGCATAAAATTAAAGAAAAATGTTTTAATATAGCAAAATTAATATATTTGTCTTTTTGGGTTTTTTTTCTTTGCCAGCTATCCTTATATTCCCATTCTACCAGCTCAGCTACTAGAAGTTCTAAGTTCCCCAACACCCTTTATTATTGGAGTACATTCTATCTTTAAAACTGATATCCATGAACTTGTAAGTATTCATTTCATTTATTTAATTTTCATAATCTACATTTTATTAAGTTTAACAGAAACAGTTCATTCAAGCACAGAAAGCACAGAATGTATGGAAAGAAAATTGATAACATATGTGGACTAGAAAGTTATTGTTATATATATGCTTTTGTTTAATCTATAAATGATTTTAGAGGAATTTTATCAGTCTTAATGTTAAAGACTTAACTGAGGTCTGTTTAATAAATTAGTGAAGGTTATACAGTTACAGTATGACAGATTTTGAATACAACTTAACATCTTCTGACAGGATGATAGTGTACTTGAAAAAAAACTTGTGTGAAGTTAATGATGAAATGCAGTTTATCTGAAACCATTTATGTTTATGCTAATAGGTATATAAAATTTGCAATAATTTTTAAATATTCAACTTCCAATATTTATAAGTATTCATTTAAAATTGCCAATTGAGGAGCTGGAGAGATAGTACAGCAGTAGGATGCTTTCCGTGCATATGGCTGACCCAGGTTCAATCCTGTCACCTCATGTAATCCTTGGAGCTTGCCAGGAGTAATTCCTGAATAGAGCCAACCTCAGCATTGCTGGGTATAGCCCAAAACCCAAAATTAATACAGTTGCTAATTATTGAGGCCAGTGGTCTACTTGTTTCAGTCCTATAATATTTCAACAATTACTATTTTCAGATCTGTTGCATTTGCAATAGAAAAGATTGGGGAAGAGCATCATTGAAAAATCTAAATATGTTAAATTTTCTCTTATGAGAGACTTTAAAGATGAATTCATTAATACTTTAAAATGATCCTTTTTTGGTATAAGTTTATCTTTCTGTATTTCTTGTATATGTGAAAAAAGAGAAGATAATGTATTACTTAGTGTTATTTTATGTGTAGTTTATTAGTGCTTTATTAATTTTCGAATTGAGACCTCTGTTAACACTAAATAAATATTTACTAAAAAGTAAAAATATCTGTAAAAGTGTGAAGGATTTTAGTGTAATATAAGTTCAGTCTGAGCCCTATTAAGTTATTTTGTGTCTGTGTATGTGTGTAAACATATGTGTGGTATTGGCAATCAAACTTAGTAGCATCTCACACATACAAGACATGTGTTCTATAACTGAGTTACATACTCCATCCTAAATTATTGTCTTTTTAATACCAAAAGAAGGAAAGTTATATACTCAAGCCAGCCTTAAAATGTGTTTAGGTCTCTGTATGGTACTTTTAAGAGGGACCATAACAAATAAAGTGTTTTAGAGAAGGGCATCCCATTTATTTACCAGAAACTTAGTCACTGTTCACATAAAATTTCTCCCCCTCCCCCCGACACCCACACTTTATTTAAACACCATAGTTTACAAAGTTGTTCATGATGCATTTGTTACAGGCATTCAGCATTCCAACACCAATCCCACTGCGTCACCTTTCCGCCACCATTGTCCCTATTTCTCCAACTACCTCTGAAGCCTGCCCCCATAGCAGGCCCAAAATAATTAATTTTATATTGCTTGTTACCAATAAATGGCTAATGGAATGATCAAAAGCTATACTTCAGTAAAAGAAAATTTGAACTCACAATTTCAAAGAAAACTAGGAAATGTGCAGTAGCGGGCAGTCAGTATCCAGTATGCTATTACCGTTCATAATCAAGAATCTCTTTCATATCTCATTTTGATTACTAAAGTGACTTGACTTAATCAGTATGTTTTATTGATTATAGATTAATTATTTTATCTCCAGTTAGATGTGATCATAGCCGACTTGGATGGAGGCACTATTAAGGTTCCTGAATGTATACACCTCTCTTCCCTCCCAGAACCACTCCTACATCAGACTCAAGCAGCTCTTTCTTTGGTAGGACATTTTATTTTCATAGAATTTTCTCTTGGTTTAATATATACAAAGATATGTGGAATGAAATCTTATTTGTAATTACTTAAAGAAGAATCATATGTTAAAATATATTCTCATATAGTTTCTTTAATGAAATAAAAGTAGTTTATAAAATTTATATAGGTTTCAGGTATGCAGATATTTCTATCAACATCTGGATATGCTACATAGTGCTTAGTACTAAAAATTAATGTGTTGGAAACAATCTAGGTACCTACAGACAGATGAGTAGGTCTACATACAAATGGATTCTTTTGTAGTATTTAGAATAATGTTTTTTGCTAGCTGTCATATTAGCTTGGCAGTGGTACCCACAAACTGCCCCCAGCGCCATGTAATTTCATTAAGAGCCAAGATCCAGAGACTATAAAACAAAGCTCCTGGAAGAGAGCGATGCAGTTTCTCCCTCTCAGAGAGCCCGGCAAGCTACAGAGAGTATTCCTGCCCACATGGCAGAGCCTCACAAGCTACCCATGACATATTCAGTATGCCAAAAACAGTAACAATAGCGGGTCTCATTCCCCTGACCCTGAAAGAGTCCCCAGTACACCATGGGGCTGCACTAGCATGTGACAGGGACTAATGGAGATGTTATTGGTGCCTGCTCAAGCAAATCGATGAACAACAGGACAGCAGGTGTTACAAGTGATACAACTGATTGTATTAAAAAAATAGAAATCCTAACAGCATATTCTGTACTCATTTTTTCAGTGAGTATACTTATATGTTAACTACTGTATTTAAACTACTGTACTACAGGTGTTGGAAACATACCCATGATAGTAAGACAAGTTGGCTTCAAAATCCCTGATTTCGCTAATATATACCACTATAAATTAGTATTTAGTTTTTCTCCTTGGTTCTTCTTATAGACATCTCAGTTCTCTGAGATGTGCAAATTGCAACACTGTTTCTATAGTGGCAGTGTTTTCAAGTTGCTGTGGCAAGCTGTAACACTGGTAAGCTAAATGTCTATGTAGAGAAGATTTTGTTTTTCTTTGTTTTAGGGGCCACACCTGGTCATGCTTGGGGATGTTCCCTTCTGGGTGCTTGGGACTTGCTCTGGGTGGTATTCAAGAAACCTTGCGGTACCAGGATCAAATCCAAGATTCTATTCATAGCAGGAGTGTAACCTTTGAAGAGATATTCCCAACCCCTATAGTAAAGTTTTACAACATTTTGTGACCTGGGCATTTCTCAGTGGAACAAATTAAAATGTATAGTTATTTTCACCTCTTTGAAAACATAGTTTTTATTTTACTGGTACCATTTTAGGTACCCATTTGTCTGCCTTAAAATCGAATCTTCAACATCTTATATGCTCTTCGAAGGTGAAGTACTTAAATTGGAAGCCTAGGATTAACAGGAGTATCTAATACTTAGAAATTTCTCAAATTTGCATTAGTCCTTATTTTGTTTTAGTAGTATCTATGGGGTGGAGCGATAGCACAGTGCTAGGGCCTTTGCCTTGCGCGCAGCTGGCCCGGCAGAGCTGGGTTCGATTCCTCCACCCCTCTCAGAGAGCCTGGCAAGCTACCGAGAGTATCTTGCCCACATGGCAAAGCCTGGCAAGCTGCCCGTGCTGTATTCAATATGCCAAACACAGTAACAACAAGTCTCACGATGGAGACGTTACTGGGCCCACACGTTACTGGGCCCACTCGAGCAAATCGATGAATAATGGGAGGACTGTGACTGTGACTGTGATTAGTATCTATGGGATAGAGACAGATAATGTCATCTAAGAAAGTAATAGATTTAAAGATTAAGAGTGACTTGACTTGGATACAGATTAAATAAGAATAATAACTAAATTTTTTTAAGCTCTGTATGGTTATAGTGAAAAGCTAAGGAGATAGTATTTGCATGATTTAATAAAAGTTTAGGGGCTTCATGATGTTCAAATGCTCAATAGTTCAATAGTTCAGGACTTTCAAACTTAGCACATCAGGATCCTCCGCAAGCTGTATTACAGATTCACCACCAGGATCTCACCATTCTACGAGGAAGTGATCATCCACATAAAGAGAGGGGTTCGGCAGGATAGTACCATTTCACCAAAACTCTTCCGTGCCACCCTCGAGAGCTTCGTGTGACAACTGGAATGGGAAGGAATGGGAGTGAAGATAGACGATTGGCAACTACACCACCTCCACTTCGCTGATGACATCATTCTAATAACACCAAACATTAGCCAAGCGGCACAAATGCTGGCTGACTTCGACCGTGAGTGTGGAAAGGTTGGACTGCAACTGAATCTCACTAAGACAATGTTGATGAGAAATGAACTAGTTTCTGATGTTCCATTTGCTCTCAACAGAATGAACATTTCCAAATGTAGCAGTTATATGTACCTGGGTCGAGAACTCAACATGACAAATGACCTGGTGCTAGAACTGCACAGAAGGAAGAGAGTGACGTGGAACGCCTTCAAGAGCGTCAAAGAAGTTGTTAAGAGGTTGAAGAACCTCTGGCTCCGGGCACATCTTTTTGACTCTACCATTCTTCCTGCACTAACATATGCCTCAGAGACCTGGGCCCTATGAAAACAGGATGAGAATGCTATTCCGGTCTCCCAAAAAGGAATCTAAAGAGTTATGCTTGGAGTATCACACTTAACACAAGTGATAAAAGGAATTCGGAGTTCCAACCTCTGTCGATGAGCGAGGGTCAGGGATGCTATCTCGTTTGCCAAGGTGTCGAAAATCGGATGGGCCAGACACATAATGCGATTTGGAGACCGCTGCTGGACTAGAGCTGTTACCAACTGGATTTCACAGGACATCAAAAGAATGCCTGGCCTCCCACCTCCGAGATGGTCAGACTTTTCATCAAGACCCTGAACGAATGAATGGTTTGATGTTCTTTGTGTTCCTGGAGCAAGCAGACACCATTAGCCTACTCTAGCATGTGACAGAGACAAATGGAGACATTACTGGCACCCACTCGAGCAACTTGACGAGCAGCGGGTTGACAAGTGATACAAATGAAGTGATACATGATAGTATAGCACTTAGGATACATATTAAGCATGAGACTGGCTTGGGTTTAATTCTCAGAAACACATGGTCCCGTAGTATCACTGCGTTCTGTTCTGGAAGCCCCTGAGCACCACTGGGTAGGGTCCTGTAGGGCCCCAGCACCATTGGGGCGACCCAGGTATCCAAAAACACATACTAACTTGGAGCAACACCACATCCTCTGGTCTCTGCACTGAACCACAGGCCTGGCTAGATGGAATTGCTGTTGAGAGCCCTGTGCCTCCTGTGCATCAGTTGGGAAGCCTCGTCTTCCCCCCATAAAATAAGTCATTTTTGATGTGTCGTGTTTCTAGAAATCCTAAATGTTTCGAAACCTTTTATATGACTGTTTAATAATATGTTAACCACAACACACAAAAGGAGAGAGAGAAAGAGTAAGAGGGAATGTGCCTGCCGCAGAGGCAGCGGATGGGAAGGGTTGGGGATGGGGGCAGGGATACTGGGAACATTGGTGGTGGAGAATGGGCACTAGTGGAGGGATGGGTACTCAAACTTTGTTTGACTAAAATGCAGTCATGAAAGTTTGCAAGTCTGTCATTGGATCTAATAAAATGAAAAATCACCTGCCCTACAAGAAAACAGAATTAATATTCCCACCATTCACTGCTGGGCTGGAGTGATAGCACAGCGGGTAGGGCGTTTGCCTTGCATGCAGCCAACATGGCCAACCCAAGTTCGATTCCTCCGCCCCTCTCGGAGAGCCTGGCAAACTACTGCGAATATCTCGCCCGCACGGCAAAGCCTGGCAAGCTACCCATGACATATTCGATATGCCAAATACAGTAACAACAAGTCTCACGATGGAGACGTTACTGGGCCCGCTCAAGAAAATCGATGAACAATGGGAGGACAGTGGTGCAGTGATACCATTCACTGCTCTTCTCCACTAATATTTTTTTTCTATACTTTTTTTTTCTAAGCATGTATAAACACATAATAAATAATTTTTTGTCAATATGGAATTAAAATAAAGTATTTTGAAATTAAAAAATATGTTAATATTTATATAGGGAGTTAGTACCAACTACCAAAGATAAAGGTTTTACTTCTTAAGAAAATGACTCCCCAGGGGCTGGAACAATAGGACAGAGGGTAGGGCATTTGCCTTGCACACAGCCAATCGGCTTCAATACCCAGCATCCCATATTGTCCCCCGAGCACAACCAGAAGATTCCTCAGTGCAAAGCCAGGAGTAATCCCAGAGCATTGCCAGGTGTGACCCATAAAAAAAAAAAAAAAAGAAGAAAAGAAAAGAAAAAAAGAAAATGACTCCCCATAGATGTCTACCATGCTGCTGGTATATCTTAACCTGCAACACTGGTGCCATCAAACTAGATAAAGGAGTAAAATTCAGTTTTGTTAACTGGGTATACATTTTTCTGTGTGCGTGGTTATCAAGTACAGTGCTAGAGTATGTGCAAATATGTGGTACTACAAATAAGACATTGAAAACAGGTATATTGTCAAACACAGACCCAAAATTTTAAAAATCACACTTGATGGATCAGGTGGAGGCTTTGGCATGCAAATAAGTGAATTTCATTAAATTTATAATTATAAGCAAATGGCAACACAGAACTTGAACTGTGTCATAACCATGGGTAATTTATAGACATTAAGACATTATTATACTATGTTAATTGATTAATTGATTAATTGGTATATAAGTATTGTTGATATTTCAGTGTCATTTTAAATGTTGTTTTCAGTCTTTTGGGCCTATTTTAGTTTTACTACCAAAATCTGAGTATTTGAAAGGTAAAAGGTAAAGGTAAAGGCCCTCCCGTTGATCGTGGATTTGCTCGAGCGGGCCCAGTAACGTCTCCATTGGAGACTTTGTTGTTACTGTGTCTGGCATATCGAATACTCTCGGTAGCTTGCCGGGCTCTCCGAGAGGGGTGGAGGAATCGAACTCGGGTCGGCCATGTTGGCCGCTTGTAAGGTGAACGCCCTACCTGCTGTGCTATCGCTCCAGCAAATGACAACAATTTTTTATACTGATAAAATTTCATTCTTTCTCTGTATAAGGACCTCTGTGTGTATGGGGGCAGGGGGCATGGAGTTGGGTGGAGGTGATCTCAAGTGGTGCTCAGCAGTGCTTGGGAGTCCCCATCCAAAAGAAGGAGCTCCTGACAGTAATTTTTCCACCAACTTGGCCGGCAGTTAAATACAGTGGTTCAAGGATGCAGAGTCAGGGAATACCTGGACCACTATGTGAGTGCTTGGGATCATTTGGTGCCAGAGATTGAGTTGGGGTCAGCCACATGCAAGATTAGACATATATCTAACCCCCTATACTATCTCTCCAGCCCTCTGTGTGGAGCTTTCTTTCCTTTTTGCTTCCCAACTGATTTCCTTCAAGTCTAATTCAAATATTCCCTGGTTGAATGAGCTATACTCTATATTTCATATTTTACTGTACATAGTACTTGCTCCATTGCATTGTGCTTTCTCCAGACTAGTGTTTTCTGACCCATTTTATCCTTAGCTCTCTTCCAACCTTGTTTCCTTCTTTTGGTCCACTGCAGTCCTGCTGGTTGGCCTTTTGGTTTCATGCTGTGGTTCCCCATTTACATGTTTTTCACTGTAGCTCCCTTGAAATATCCTGGAGGCCTACAGGGACTGCCCCAATATTTCTTTTCTCAGAATTTCAACTATTCATTATACTATGAAACAAAAATTTGTTTATAATTTTCAGTTATATAAGAAAATATATAGATCTTCTTGCAGCCCAGAGGTATTTTAGTTCAATATATAGTCTTTTGCTTTTTGGGTCACATCTGCAATGTATGCCCAAAACAGTAACAACAGCAGTTACTGGTGCCTGCTCGAGCAAATCAATGAACAGTGGGATGACAGTGCTATATAGTCTTTAATGACTTACTATGTTTAATTCTTGTGTGTTGGTGCATGTGTTGCCATAATTTCATATATTTTGTTTTGTTTTCAAATGAATGAGATACTACTCTGCTTTCTTCCTAGAATTTGTTCTTTAAAATATTCTGCTTTCCTACTATGTGTTCTTTTAAGTATTTTGTCTCAGAGGAGCCGGAGAACTAGTTCAGGGGTAGGGCTGTTGACTGTGAATGTGGCCAACCTAGGTTTGATTCCTGGACCACATACAATTTCCCAAGCACCACCAGGATAAGTCCAAAGCACTGCTGTGGTGTCCAAAACAAAACAAAGTTTTGCCTTGGAAATTTTTTTACGATAGTGTATACAAAGAGCCTCAGTAAACCCACATTGTATTTCATGCGTAGAATTTATTGTATTCCATGTACTGTTTTTTTTATCATACTATCACAAGTAGATTAAATAATCACTTTCGTTATTAATATTATGGTTGTTTATATAACTACATTTCTTTGCTTTAGATTCTGCATCCAGACTTAGAAGTAGCCGATCATGCTTTTCCCCCTCAACGAACAGCCTTATCTCACTCAAAAATGCTGGTAAGAAGTTTAATATTTAACTGGGATGCTTTTAAAGAGATTTCTACTTTTCTACTTTCGTTTGTATGGTTCTTTAAAAGGACAGTGGAGTCAGAGTGGGATGGACAGCCTAGAAAAAAGTACCAGATTAGAAATGACCATATGAGGGGCTGGAACGATGGCACAGTGGGTAGGGCGTTTGCCTTGCATGCAGCCAACATGACCAACACAGGTTCGATTCCCAGCACCCCATATGGTCCCCCGAGCACCGCCAGGAGCAATTCCTGAGTGCATGAGCCAGGAGTAACCCCTGAGCATTGCCGGGTGTGACCCAAAAAGCAAAAAAAAAAAAAAAAAAAAAAAAAGAAATGACCATATGACCTGCTTCAGGAGGGCAGCACACTGACCAGATGGGGGGAAAGACTAGGATTAGGACTCTTGCCATGGGGAGTTCAGTGTAAGGACAAACAATCACGACCCAAAATAGAGCCTGAAAAGCTGTGCAAAGCATTAAGTCAAAAGGAGCAGTCAAGAATAAAAAAGTTTTTTTTTAAAAAAATTTATAAAATACTGAAAACAGATTGTTGATAACAACAGAGCAAAAAGTCTAAGGGATAAGTAAATAAAAGTAGTTCCATATAGAAGCCATAGGTGGGTGAGTTTAATAGCTGAGGCCCCTTCTTTATTTGGCTGAGTGCATTTCTTAGAGATAAATTTTGTAGCTAGTAAGATGCCTTTAGAGTAGATAAAGGACCAAACATGATGGCCTCTCAGTATCTGTATTGCAAACCATAATACCCCAAAGTAGAGAGAAAGAAGGAAATTTGTCTGTTATAGAGGCAGGCTTTCCCGTATTTGTTGTAGCACTATTCACAGTAGCCAAAATCTGGAATCAACGCATGTTCAAGAACAGATGAGTGGATAAAGAAACTATGAAATTGTGTGTGTATTATATATATATTATATATATATTATATATATATTCATTTTCACAAGGTAAGATACACCATTATATATATATAATACACACACAATTTCATAGTTTATATATATATATTTCATATATAATATATAATATATAACAATTTCATAGTTTATATATATAAATTTCATATATATATATATAATGAAATACTATCTGGCTATAGGAAAAGATAAAGTCCTGCAATTTGCTGCCACATAGAGGGATTTGGAGAGTACTTATGCTGAGTGAGTCAGAAGGAAAGGAAACGTGTAGAATCATCTCTTTCAAACAGAGCTTGTAAAGAAATTTAGTTTGGAAATAACAAATACCCAAAGACAACAAAAACTGAGAACTGGTCTTTAGTAAGAAGCTTCCCACAAGGGGAGTGATGGATAGATTTGATGGGGTTGGGGTATACGAGTGGGACCTTGGGGGAGAGAAGCAGGCAGTCTGGTTGAAGGTGTGATGCTGGAATGATTTGTGCAACAAACCCTACCACTAAATGTAGAGCATGGTGCCTAAAATAAAATCTTCATATTTTAAAAAAAGTTAACAGTATACAACATCCAACACTGGGACACACTGTGTGCCTCTCCTTCAGACTGACGTGAGACTCAAAGACTTTAAATGGTTTAGTAAACTGTATGTTTTCATTAATAAAATGCATTATTAGTCTAAATGTCATATTCTTTTTGATTTTTCTAACATTCTGTTGTTTTTAAATATATTCAGTTCCCTAGCACATTTTTTTTCTTATTTTCAGGATAAAGAAGTTCGTGCAGTTTTTCTTAGATTGTTTGCACAACTTTTCCAAGGATATAGATCATGTCTTCAACTTATAAGAATTCATTCAGAACCAGTAATTCATTTTCACAAGGTAAGATACACCATATTATATTGTCCAAAATGTAAACCCTAATAAAAGAAGAACGTAGCTGTTTTTCCGTAGGCAAGCATTTTTTACTTAATTTTATTAAATGTAGTTATTTAAAATCCTTGCTTTATATGGTTTTGAATAAATTCTATGGAACTGACTCTTGTAGAGTATATTGACTTTAAATTAGTATTTCTTTTAAAATTGGGTGTTAACTTCTGATTTCTCTTGTTGCTAGATTGCTTTTTAAAGATTCTTTTCAATTTATATACTATTTCAGCTTTCAAACTCCTTCTTAAAGACTTTAATTTTCATCAGCATTTATGCAGAAAGACTTTCTATGGGATTTGATGTTTCTATATTTTTATTTTTTCATGTCATCTACTACCAAGCAGTAAATTATTCATTTCATATTTCCTTTCTTTACAGACAGCTTTCTTGGGACAGCGTGGTTTGGTTGAGAATGATTTTCTCACCAAAGTTCTCAATGGAATGGCATTTGCAGGTTTTGTTTCTGAAAGAGGGCCTCCCTATAGAACCTGTGATCTCTTTGATGAGGTATAGTTCTTATCATATGAATGCATTATTTACAGACAAAAATTAAGATTAGTAGCTAAGAGAGTATAGAAACATTTCTCAGATTTAATCACAAATGTTAAGTTAAATATAAAATAATGTAAATGGTTTTTACTATGGTCTGTACCAAATGTTATTTAGTAAATTATGCCTGTCCTCTATCCCTCCCTCCCTCCCTCCCTCCCTCCCTCCCTTCCTTCCTTCCTTCCTTCCTTCCTTCCTTCCTTCCTTCCTTCCCTTCCTTCTTCCCTCCCTCTTTTTCTTTCCCCTTCTTTACCTTATCATCCCACCCCCTTATCACCCCCCCCACACACAGACACCCAGCAAACTGTACCACATTTGGTCCCCCAAGCACCACCACACATGATCCCTGAGCACAGAGACAGGAGTTGGGTATGATCCCAAAGCTGGCAGTGGGGGGACCCTCAAAAGGAGAAACACACACACACAGTGAGACACCAGACCAACCTTGGCAGCTTAATTGTTTTGGAAACATGCTTTTGGAGAAGAATGTGTGCTCCTGAGAATGGGATTCTTGTGTTTTTGTTCTTTTGTTCTGGAGCTTTAGGATGTTGCTTTGTCTCACACTTCCATCACATAGACCTGTTAAAAGGAAAGAAACATTTGCCTTTGTTGGCATTTGTTTCTAAGTTCTGAGCTAAAATATGCACAGTCATAATTTCCTGTCTTTCTACTCCAGTGAAACTCTTAGTTCTTAGAAGGAGAAATCCTGTTGTGTGTGTGTGTGTGTGTGTGTGTGTGTCTGTGTGTGTGTGTGTTTTGTTTAAGAGAAACCAGTTCATCTATTTACCCTTCTTCCCCACACCCAAATATTTTACTACCAGTTTTCTTTCCTCCACTCTACTTCAAGTATGTACATTCGCATAGTTCTAGTAAACGAGTAGGCAAATGGCTTAGGGTTTACATATGGTTTATATATTTGAGAGCTAGAAGGAACCTAAACATCATCTTGTACTTTAATTTTGTTTTAGAGATGAAGAAACTACTAAAGCTCAGAAATTATTCCAGACCACAGTGTCAGCAAAACTAGAAGGATCTGAGCAACATGAACTGACATTTGGTTCATGTTTTTTTATTGTTTTTTTTTTCCCTTGAATCACCTTGAGATACAAGGTTACAGAGTTGTTCATGTTTGAGTTTCAGTGGTACAATGTTCAAGCACCCACCAGTGTTCACTTTCCTTCACCAGTGTCTTCCGTTTCCCTCGTGCTTGTACCCCAAGCCTGCCTCTATGGCAGACACTTTTTTCCTTGCAGGAACTGTGGTTTCAAGTACTTTTACTGAAAGGGTACCAGGCATATCACTTTACCTCCTTTCAGCACTCTGTTCTTGTCTAGAGAGATCACTTCTCACTATCATTGTTCTTTATTTTGATGTGGATCTGATTTTCAGGCATTTGTTTTGATGTCTGCCAAATTCACAGAACTGATATGTGTTCATTTCTTTAAAAAAATTATTATTTTTAGAGCATTAAAAGCCATTCATGATTGAATTTCAGTCATACAGTATTCCAGCACCCATCTCTCCACCAGTGTACATTTCCCAGCACCAATATCTCCAGGTTCCCTACCATCACCCCACCCCTTGCCTGCCTCTTTGGCAGGCGCTTTTCTCACCCCCCTGCCCCTCCCCCCTCCCTCCATCCCTCCTTCCCTCCCTCCCTCTCCCTTTTCCTGTCCCCCGCCTCTCTACACCCCTATCCCGTCTTCCCCCCATTTTGGGCATTGTGGTTTGCAATATTGATTCTGAAAGGTTATCCAGAATATACCTTACCTACTTTTAACCCTCGGATCTTGTCCATCGTGATCATTCCCAGCTATTATTGTCATAGTGGTCTCTTCTCTATCTTACCAGCCCTCAGCCCCACACACACTTGTGGTTAGTTCAAACCATTGACCTGTCCTCCTAACCCCTGTTTACCCTCGCCATGTATATATATATGAAGAATAATATATATGTATTATTTTTTGTGATATTATATCACAAATGAATGCAGTCATTCTATATCTGTCCCTTTCCTTCTGATTCATTTCACTTAGCATAATACTGTCCATGTCCATCCATTTATAGGCAAATTTCATGACTTCATTTTTTCTGACAGCTGCATAGTATTCCATTGTGTAGATGTTCCATAGTTTCTTTATCCATTCATCTGTTCTTGGATACTCAGGTTGTTTCCAGATTCTGGCTATTTTGAATGAACATAGGGATTAATATGGTGTTTCTGCTGTGTGTTTTAGGGCCCCCAGGGCATATTCCCAAAAGTACTATTGCTGGGTCAAATGTTTTATGAATTAGGGGTAAATGCTTGTTGACTTTCTTGCTTTCTGGAAATCTCTCACTGAGGCCTAGAAAATGAATTTTTCTGAGATCTCAAGTAAAATGGCCCTAAGTTATCATAGAGAGACTAACAGACTATTCAAGGACTCGATTGACTGTGTAGTTCTAGAATATAAATACAGTAAGAATATAAAGTATTTTGTTTTAATAATGGTATATATTTTGAAAGCTTTTCAGTTTTTAAGTAGTATAAAATTGTCAGTTTTCTTAATTCATGTTTTGGGGTTGATATTTTGCTATTTGATCGTTTTTCAAGTTGGTAGCTTTTGAAGTAGAGCGAATTAAAGCTGAAGAAAATAGCCCATTGAAGATGATAAAGCATGTCAGAGAACTTGCAGAGCAACTATTCAAAAATGTAAGTAAGTATATTTATTTAGATAATCATTAATTTTAAAAGTATTAAAACCATTCTGTTTGTAAAACTAAAAGCTTCATCTTTTTAGTGATAATTGTTTTCACCTACATAGAACCTTTGGGATCACATTACCAGACAGTGCCTTTGGTACGAACTGCATCAAAATATACCTCAAGCTTAAGTTATTTTCAGTCTCTATGCAATGAAAACACCCGAGTCTTGTTTTTCAGATTTATCATTTTCCTTTGTGATCTTCACTAAATTATGTCTTCTTAAAAATACATTGGACGTGTGTGTCTGTGTCATAAAAAGATTAGGCTTATAAGAGACAAGAAGAAACTCAGAGATGTGCAATGAATTCTGCTTTAGCTTAGTACAGTGATAGTCATTGTGTGAGGAAAATTATTTGAGTTGAATTTTTTTGAGAAGTCATGTAGTGAAAAACTGTAAGAAGGCTTTGCAGACCACAACACCCAAAAGGAGAGAGAGAACACAGGGGATTGCCCTGCCACAGAGACAGGGGGGATGGGGGGGTGGGGTGGGAGGGATATTATCCATGGTGGTGGAAAATGGGCACTGGTGGAGGGATGGGTATCTGATCATTGTATAATTGAAACCAAAGCACAAAAAATTGTAAATCTACAACTTTAAAAAAAATAAAATAAAATAAAGGGAAAAAAAAAACTGTAAGAAGGCAAATTGGCAGGGCCAGAGAGCTAGACACCAGGTTAGGCCCTTGCCTTGCAGGTAGCCAATTTAGGTTTAATCCCCTGTCACCATATATGATCCCCCCAACACAGCCATGTGTCAGCCAGGAGTAAGCCCTGAGCACAACTGTATTATGGTCCCAAGAACAAAAAAGAAGGCAAATTGGCAAGTAGACATAAAACTTAGGAATTAAAAAACTCCAGTATGAAAGAAATTGGCTTAATTTGTCATGTATAAAGTATGAAGATACACTTCATATTAGGACAAAAGAGAATCGAAGATGACAGAGCAATCTAAATGCCAGGATGAATTTTGGCTAAGAATCAGTTGTCATTCCTCCTGCTTTTCAGAGTTGACCCCTTTTATTAGGAAAATAATAAAAAGATCTCTCATATATAGGATATAAAGAAACATAATAAGGAAACAACACAGGATCAACCATTTAAAACAGGTTTTGTCTACAGAAAAAAAAATTAACAGTAATGCCTGGGAGGGGCACTTAAGACACTGGTTGAGGGAAGTGGACACTCTGTGATGGAAGTGGTGTTAGAATGCTGTATGCGTGGAAAGTATAATTAGCTGTATTGTAAATCCCAGTACCTTAATAAAAATGATAAAGTTGTAAAAAGTGGGAAGTATGGCCATCTAGGGAAAAGTTGAGGGGGTCTGTTATTTTGGTGTGGGATGAGGAGACCTCCCAACCATTACCCAGCAATACTCAGCCAACTGGTCTGATATTTGAGTACTTGACTTGGTGACGTGGTGTTTCTTGGGTCAGGCAGTATCGGGTGGCCACTGTGCACTTGAAGTCTTGCTTTGTACGGTACATTGTTCTACCAAGGTTTGAACTTGATTATCAGCACATTGCAGAAATATACCCATGATTCCTGTCTGTGAGCCTGTGTAATTTTTTTGAAGCAAGGTAATTTTTATTGAAACTTTATTTTAAAAGATGTGAGGGGAGAAAAAGAGAGAAGTATGTGCTTCAGAGAGAACACAGGCTACTCCAGAGTAGAAGTAAGCAAGCAGAGAAACAGCGACAAGCAAGTGAGATGCATGTTCAAGAGTGGACGCAGACTTGAAGAGCAAGCCATGTATATGTATTTTTAAGGAAATATAGTTAAGATAGATTCGGATGTTTTCTGGCATTGATTAACTTAATTTTTTGAGTAGGTGGACCTTTATAGACATTAGATTATTAGTGAATGCTTTGACACGTCCACTTGGAATCTGAAAACTAATTGGATAAAAGTACAAGTACTGAATGTGTTTCTTTGCTTCATATTATTTTATTTTTGTGGATTTTATTTCTGAATATATTATGTTTATCTCTGACAGATACCCTCTATATAACTGTTCAATGTAATAAATCTGTTTCTTCATTCCTGTGCTGAAACTTAAATAATTCTGTCAGAGGGAAAATTTATGTTCTGTGCTGGCTTGTGTCATTTGTGATGGCTGGATAGAACTAAGATATAACATGATAACATGAGAATTTCTATTGACCTGTTGTAATAGTATTTAGTGTTTAGAAAACCATGCCAGGTATGGGATTAAATAGTTTACATATATCATCTCTAATCAGTATAACAACAGTTTATAAGATAGGTGTCTTTACTACCATTCTACTGCAAATTATTGACTCAGGATCATCTGGCTATTAAGTGATTGAATCCAGATTTTAAAATCAGGAATTTTCATTTATTCCATTCCTAAATCTAGTTATTTCATTCCATCACACTGGCTTATCTCCAGTTGGAAAAATAATGGTATTTCCAATGACAGACTTTATACTTTGTTGTGCATAAACTAGTTTGATCTACTTTCTCATTTAATTTTAGAAGTAACTGTGTGATAGGAAAGGTGTTTTGTGTTAAAAAAAAAAACTGAAGATTTTTTTCTCTTGCCCACTAACAGTGATTTATTGATAGATTTCAAGAAGTAAAACATCAAATTGGAATCAGTTTGAGACACTGATTCCTTTAGTATTTGAATGTTTATTTTTAAATTTTTACAAGACTATTTCAGCACTGAAAAATTTTTTTTAGCCAACAAGTGACCAGGACTAGAGCTGTGACTTAAGTTTGTCTGTACTACCATGGTTGAGTGTACAATGCCTGTAAGGATTATGCCAAGCCATTTGATGCAAAAAACAGTAAATTCCTTTATTTTGTTTGTTTTGGTTTGATTTGGACATGCCCTGTGGTGCCTGGGGCTTACTCATGGCTCTACATCTGGGACTTACTCCAGTTGGTGCTTGGGGGATCTTATAGGATGCTCGGGATCCAACCTGGATCATTCGCCTGCTTTGGCAGGTGCCCTGCCTACGGTACTATACTGTCTGGCTGACCCCTTTAATTCCTTTCTTGCCATACAAGCACTGAAATCTTATGACACATAGCTTTACACTAAGCGGATACAAAATTGAACACTACAATGAGTACCTAGCAATTAGATAATTTTAAAGATTAATATAAAACACCACTCCTCTACATTAAAAACCTAACTTTAAAAGTGAGCATTGTGACCGGCAAATTGTATTAACTAGGTTTCTACATTGTGATGTGCTTTTACTTTGTAACTTGTTCTCAAAAGACTTTTTTAAAAAAATAAAGTCCATCATTATACTTTAAAAAAAAAGTGAATATTGTGGTATTGTATTACTAGATAAAAGATGGAAACTGCCTTCAAATGTTTTCTGTACTCTTGAGAACTTATTCTTATTCCCACCTGCCTTAGGTATGATTATTTTCCATTTTATCAGTTGATTTATTCAGTATGTATCTATTAGGCACTTACTAAATGCCAGACTTTTTCTCAGTACATTATTCCCCATATATACTTGAGAAAAGTATACACATACATGATAGAAAATTTGAGAATATCTTATTGAATGAATCTTACTATTTTGAGATTCTTTCTAGTTTTAAGATTGCAGAGTCCATTATGGTCCCAATATTTCTGAAGTAAAATACTCTACAATGTTAAAAAATCAAGCATGATAGTAAAGTTACTTCCTTAGGTCATGAAGGAAGTTAAGGAAGGGTAGGAGGATGGTCTCAATGCAAGGAAAATAATCCAGATGGTTCTATTTTTAACTACTCATTTTAAAAATCACATTTCTAAAATTCCCTTTTGGTAAGCAAGAATCAGCCATGTAATTTGACTGTTTCCTTATTGTTGGGTTATAATTGAAACTTGGTGATTCTATTCAGATGTTCGTAGATGCATTATTGCACTGAAGTCTATCTGCTTTCCTTTACTTCCCTTAGCAGTGCCTCAATAACAAACTTTTATTTCCAGACTGTTCTCAGACTTAAAACTTTTATTAACAAAACCACTCAGCTTTATTACTTTTAGTGAATAGAGTTGAATTTAGATATAAAAATAGATATTAATTAGATAAATTGCAATTGAGTTTAGCTGTTTTTTTTAAAACTTTTTCCAGATTGCTAATTTATAGGAAAATAACCATGATTTTGTTGAGGGAAGGGAATGGGAAGGTAAGGGAGAAGTTTTTTTTGAAAAGTTCATTAAAGACAAGTTGTATATGTATTCAAAAATTTGTACCATGAAGTTTACTGGAAAACTGTACAGTTTCCCCCCCTGCATCTATCTTTCTTTCTTTGTTTCTTTGTTTCTTTCTTTCTTCCTTCCTTCCTTCCTTCCTTCCTTCCTTCCTTTCTTTCTTTCTTTCTTTCTTTCTTTCCTTCTTGTCTTCTGTTTATTTGTTTTTTGGGGTTAGTGATTGAATACTAGGCTAGAGCCTTAACACAGACAAATATATACTATACCACTGAGCCACCTTCCCAATCCTATACATTTTTCCCATGCCCAATCAATAATACTGTGTCTACCCTCTTAGACTTTTAGAATAATATCTGTTTGACAGTAAATTTAGCTACTTACCTTCTTTATGATGCTTATAAAACCTAAACTGTACAGAAAAATAAGAATGTTAAAATATGCCAAGGCAAGAACTTTATGAAACATCCACTCCTAGAATTAATGTGTCAGTTGGACATATATCTTATTGCATATTTCCTAATTTGTTTTGCATCTGCAGTAGTACAGAAATATTTGCTAAACTGAGTAATTTTTCAGTTTTGTAACATTTTTCCTCCCTTGTTTTTTTTTTATTAAACGCAAAAGGAAAGGACTTGGATTTTCTCATAAAATAATATATTTCTATTTGTTCCTTATGGATATTGAATCATTGGCATTAAAATTAATACACTTTATTTTATTTACTTTTAATTATATTTGTATACAATATAATGAATAGGTTTTGT